TCCTCACACACTGACCCTGTCCACTGCAATCAAGCGGACAACCATCTAGAGGAAGGGGGTGAAACACGAAAAACAAATTGCGTGAGTTGCAAACCTACCAAAATAAGGAGTAGCCCTACCGCTGGTGTTCTACTGTAACGTGCTTTCTACTCAACTAGGTACTGGTCAAAAATCAGAATCAGACTTAAGATATGTCACCTATATTGCAAAAATTAACTTCGAATTAAATAACAACAAGTAAGTAGTAAATAGTTCTTTACTATAGTAGAATATTGCTACGGAGTAATGCTCATCTCCTTTCAAAATACACTAGAAAGGTTCATCCAAGTGCCCCAAAGTAAATGCTGTGGACCTCCACGATTTTTCTTCGAAATCTGAATTTTGTTGTCGAAACGAGTACTTTCAATTTACTAGGTATGCGCATCTATCTTTGGATCAATCTAATATCCCTGGCGATTGACAGTTTTGTGGCTCTCGTTGATGAACTTTCACCGACCGCTAACGGAACTCACTTGTCCCACTCTGCCTTGCCTTGGGCCCCATTTTTCGGGCCCTGACGGCAGCCATAGCAGGTAGTAGTACCCAGCCTGATTAATTCACCGATAAGTCGCGTATTCGTCGGAATTCATTGCTGAACCTGCTTCTGCTTTGCGTGAACTTAGAGGGATCAAAGGCGCTGCATCTCACTTGCGTACGTATAAGTATTCGGAATGGTCGAGAATATGCCAGGCCCCGGTAAATGAATAGAAGAAGGTAAGACGTTCTCTGGGACCAGGGGGTTTATTTGTCCGACGTTTCGAACCCTCCCGCGAGCTCATTGTCAAGGAGTGAAAAATGGACGAGGAAAAAGGCGTGTCGAGCAAATACTCAGAGCTGGACTCCTGTAAGAGTTCGAAAGCTCAGAACAATAAATCAATTGATCTGATGCTCGACACGCCTTCTTCCTCGTCCATTCAAATGCCTGGATTGCGAACCTTCTCATTCATTCGGGAGTGAAAATGTACAGCTCACAGTGTATTTAACTCAGTTCTGCCGGGAGTGACCTCTATCCTCGATCTGCTCGCGCAACGTGAGGTAGGCATCAGGAAGCTAGATATGCCTGTTAATTGAGTCCGCACGTGAATGTTATGCTTCCTGCAGCAGGCGTGAAGTTCGGTCGTCTGACCAACCCATTATTCGCACGCGTTCGAAGTTTAAGCCGTGCCCTGGCGTGGATGCGTGGGCGGCCACCAGGGAAAGCTTGTCCT